TCAGTCACAGCTGACAATATCAGATTTTGGATGCAGGAAGATCTGGTCCTTGTAAAACTGAAACAACTGATGGTGATGGGTGAAACCAAAGGCCTGTCACAACCAGAACTGAAACCTTTTTGGATGTGGAGAGACCAGATCACAGTAGAGGATGGCATATTATTATGGGGAACAAGCATGATTGTCCTGAGTAAAGGGTGCTGCCAAATACTGGCTGAACTCCACCAGGGTGATCCAGTGGTTTCCAAAATGAAGATGTTGGCGAGAGGTTATGTCTGGTGGCTAGGTTTGGATGCAGACATAGCTGCATTGGTGGAGCAGTCCTCAGATACCAACAAGGACAAAAACTGCCACCAGCAGCTCCCCCACATTCATGGGAATGGTGGGTAAACCCTGGACATGGTTACATGTCGACTATGCAGGTCCTTTCATGGGCTCAATGTTCTTAGTCATTGTAGACACTCACTCAAAATGGTTGGTTGTACATAGAGTTCATTTGTCAAACACAGGAGCGACGATAGAAGAACTGTACGCATCTTTTGCAATACATGAAATCCCAGAAGTGTTGGTCACAGATAGCGGACCATCGTTTACCAGCAGGGAATTTGAGTATTTCCTAAAGTTGAATGGGACTCGACATAAAAGGGCAATTCCACACCATCCGTCATCTAATGGCCTGGCAGAAAGATTAGTCCAAACTTTGAAGTCAGGCTTGAAGAAACAGTCTGCAGCTTTGTTAGATACCAAACTGTCCCCATTCCTATTTGTTTGTAGGTCCAACCCTCATGCAGCTACAGGGATATCTGCAGCAGAGTTGCTAATGGGGAGAAGACTCTGTAACAGGTTAAATCTGATATTCCCAGACCTGGGACGGTAGGGTGAAATGGCATCAGGAATGACAGTGCCGGATGCTAGACTCCGCCAAGTGAGAGAGACGGGGATGAAGTTTGGTGTAGGAACCGTGAAAATTGACCTGCATGGGTAAAAGGCTTGGTCGATGCAAGATCAGAACCAGTGACATATAAATTTCAAATAGGAGCGATGGTCCTAAACAAAGAAGGTGGACCACATGAAAGCTGCAAACTCGCAAAATGTGCCTTTCTTCTCGGAACAGTTGGAAAGGCTGTCAGAATCCATGGGCTCTCCTCCTCATCAAGCGTTCAAGAGACCTCTGAATCTGTGATGGATACAGCTGATCTTGCCACATCGACAACCTTGCTGTCAGAAAAAAAAGTGAATTTCTCCTGAGATGCTCCGGCCACAAGAGATGAGCTCATGTGTTACATGCCACCTATAACTGACACAGAGTCAGCAAAACCTGAACCGGTGTTAAAACGCCCCTGGAGGAACTACAAGAAAAAGGACCTGCGTACATCCTCAGAGGGTGATGAATGTAGTGATTGCAATGAGGTCAGCCGGGTGGGCCTCATGGAATATGAGTTCTCTGATTGGGGCCGTTAACCTGGTCCAAGCAGCAAACCTTTGGCTGACAGATAAGAGCAGGAGTGTCAGCCGTCCTGTTCACTCTGAGAGAGCTGAGCCAGTGTCAAGAATTTTCCACATATAAACTAAGGGTGACTTGGTGACAGAATACCAGTCTATGGAATTATTTCAAATGTCTTCCCTTTCATCATTATTGCTTGTGGGCTTAAAGACAACCCCTAACAATGTTTTCTGCCCCTTATTCTCCACCCATACAGATTCCACATCAATAAACATCATAATACTATCCTACCTCCTTTCCCTATTTGTCTGTCCTTCTTAAATATTGAATAACTTGGATGTTCAGTCCCCATCCGTGGTCACAGTACAGCCATGTCTCTGTAATTGCAACTATGTTACGTCAATGTACATCTGCTTGTGCTGTTAATTCATCTACCTTTTTGCAAATGTTCTGTGCACTAGCACACAATTACTTTTTGTTTTTTAACCATCTTAGACAGCTTTGTTTTGCGCTATCGCCCATATTTTTAGCTTGTTTTTTTTCTGTCTTCCACATTAAGTTCTTACTTTTCTGTCTTTTTTTTCTATCCATTGTTCCCCCACCCCTTATTCTTTCTGCTGTGATACCCATCACCCTGCAGTTCTAGTTTACTTGTAGCAATATTTTCTCATAAGTTACACTAGTCTGTTGCTACAAAGTAGTCCAGAACTGATTGCAAATCGGTCGTTCAAATGCACAAATGAAGCAAGACCTTTCAGATATTCAGCAATTTTAAAGTTGCATTGTCCAAATTAAGAAATTGTAGGATGGCCAAGTTTAGACGATTAGCTGGCTAACAGGAAGCAGAAGGTAGACGTTTTTTTTCAGGTTGGCAAGATGTAATGAGTGCTATGCCACAGGGATTAGTGCTGGGATATCAACTATTTACACATTATATAAAGTAGATGAAGGGAGAAAAGGTATCTACCAACAACACAAAGATTGGTGGGAAATGAAGTTGTGAACAAACAGGAAGAACACAAAAAGATATTGATACTTTAAATGTAAACATGTATCAAATGGAGTACATTGTGAGAAAATCTGAAATTTTCACTTTGAAGAATCAAAAGGAAGCATCAAATTTAAATCATGGGAGATCGCAGATCCAAGATGCAGAGGGATCTGGGTGTCCTTGTGCATGAATCACAAAAGGTAACTATGCAGGCCTAGGCAATGATTTAGGGAAGCTTGTAAAATGTTATCAATTCTCACGATGGGAATTGAATATAAAATTGGGAGGTTATGCTTCCATTGTTCAGTGCACTCAGGCAACTGAATCTGGAGTACTTTGCACAGTATCAGACACCCTTATTTAAGGAGGCATATATATGCATTGGAGGCAGCTCAGAGAATGGAAAGGGTGACTTATGACGAATGATAGGTTCAGGCCTAGCCCGTCCAGTCAGATTAAAGACATCAGTGAGAAGAATGAAGAAGTGATCTTATATCTGGGACCTGATCTAATGTATCTCAGAATGATGTGGGATGTAAGGGAGGAAATTGTGGAGTCCCTTGCAGAAATATTTGCATCATCTATAACTATGGGTGAGGTACCTGATGACTGGAGTGTGGCTGATGTTGTGCTGTTGTTTAAGAGGGTTGTAAAGAGAAACCAGGCAACTATAAACCTGTGTCTGACTTTTATTACGGGTAAATTGTTTGAAGTGATTCTAAAAGAATTTATAAACACTTGAGAGAGTTTTGTGAGTGGAAAATCGTGTCTTACAAACTTGCTGGAGTTTTTTGAGGAAGTTACTAAAAAGATTGAGGGCAGAGCAATAGACGTTGTTTACTTGGACTTCAGTAAAGCTTTTGGCAAGGTTCCATATAGTAAACTAATCAATAAAGTTAGATCACATGGGACTCAGGGTGAGCTTACCAAGTGGATACATAATTGGCTTAACAGCAGGAGACAGATTGGTGGTTGCTTTTCGAACTAGAGGCCTGACACCAGTGGCGTTCCACAGGGATCAATACTGGGTCCTCCTTTGTTGGTCACTTACATAAATGACTTAGATGAGAATATGGAAGGCATGTTTAGTAAGTTTGCGGACAAAACCAAAATTGGTGACATCGTCGTCAGTGAAGAAGATTGCAAAGGGATCTTGATCAAATGGGTCAATGGGCTGAAAAATGGCAGATGGAGTTCAATCTGGATAAATGCAAGGTATTACATTTTGGTATAACAAACAGGGGCAGAACTTACACAATTAATGGTTGGGCCTTGGGTAGTATTATCATAGAGGGACCTAGGGGTTCAGGTACATAATTCTTTGAAGTTTGCAGCACATATAGACATGGTGGTTAAAAAGGCATTTAGCGCACTTGCCTTCATCACTCAATTATCGAAGTAGAGGAGTTGGAAGTCATGTTGTGGTTGTACAAGACATTGGTGAGACTTCTTCTGGAGTACTGTGTCCAGAACTGGTTGCCCTGCTTTGGAAGGACATTATTAAGCTAGAGAGGGTTCAGAAGAGATTTACCAGGATGTTGCCAACTGTGGAAGAACCTCAGTGCTGAGGGTCACCGGACTCAAAACATTAACTATGACAGTTTTTCTTCTTTGCTGCTGTCAGACCTGCTGAGCTTGTCCAGCAACTTCTGTTTTTGTTCCTGATTTACAGCATGCGCAGTTCTTTTAGATTTTATTTAGTTTGGGATTATGTTCAGCAAGGACTGGTTGGACCAAAAGGTCTGTTTCCATGCTGTATGACTCTATGACTATTCCTCCATTGAAACATAAGACTCTGATGGGCTTGACAGGACGGATGCTGAATGCTTTCTCTCATGACAGAACCTGGAAATAGAATGGCACATTTAAAAAATAAAGCAGTTCCTATTTAAGGCAGAAATCAGGAAGAAGTTCTTCCCTCAGAGAATTGTTAATCTTGGATCAGTGGATAGTAGATCATTGAAAATAATCCAGACAGAGCAGGAGAAATTTTTGATTGACAAGGGAGTCAAGGATTATCGAGGCCACAATCAGCTCAGCCATGAATTTACTGAATGGTGGAATAGGTATAAGGGATTAAATGGTTATGATTCTCATGATCTAATGAATGTAGCTGGATTTCAACCAAATAAGTCTCTGTAAGCAATTTTTCACAGTGCAAAACACATTATTGTGAGGAATTTGCACAAATAATTCACAAATAATTTTTTCCATGTGGGACTACTATTTTAAAAATGAACTTGGCTTTTTTGATGACATATGAAATTTGTGCCCAAAACTCTGCAAATTTACTTTTAGATTTTTAAGGTTGCAAGCTCTAAAAACAAACCAAGTAAAAGTCTGTAATAAGTATCACAAGTTTTGAAATTACTGCTACCTTATCCAAAAGAAGAATCAGGAAAATGCAGAAATATAAGTGCAATACATTGATTTTCTTTCTCGGTGATTAACCATTATGATTAACACTGTTTCTCCAGAAGGTAATAATTGATGAATCATGGGAACAAAATTTGTACATAATGTGTGCATATTTTTAACTCAAGCAACAAACCAAAAGGTGTTTTGTAACCAATGTGGTTCTATTAAAACCTATTTCCAATCCTTGAACTACATAAGCATGGACTGACAGCAGTACAGAGCTACATTTTACAAAATAACATATATAAAAGTCAAAAAGTAACCAGAAATTCCAAATGTTTTGCAAGCTACTGAATATAACACTCTCTTTACATATAATTAGCCAATGACACATTTTTTCTTTTCTAAACCCCCACCCCTTTTTAAAGGTAGTTTTTTTCTTATATAGGGCAAATTTCTTCTGATTTATTTTATTCAATTACCCTGCATATCTTTTTAAATTTGTATTTATATGATAGGGCACTAAAAGAACAATAAACACCTATAAAAATAATATTACATTGTATTCTTCAGGACAGCATATAATGCACAACACATAAATCTTAAATGCAAATGTTTAACAAATAGAACAACTTCAGCAAGTACTGCAGTACATTGTAACAGGTACATTATATGTATATACACATTTAACTAATTGTTTTTACAAAAGTTTTTTTGTTCATTTTTTTCACAATTTTCGTTATACAACAAACACTTAACAAAATATATTACTGTGAATAACTTCTGAGAAATGTTACAGGTTAAAGTTTCTGATGTTGTCTACGTAGTTTTGCAAAGCAAAAAATAAAAAGCAGTCTGAAGCTGCAGAGGCTTCATCTTCAAAGAAAGATGCTGTAGACATCAAATTGGTCAGAACTCAGATCACAAATACTACTCTGATTTATCACAATAAAGTTCTTTCAATGTTTTGAGTTCCTCGATTAGCTGCTTGTTTTGGGTTTCCAGCACTGCAACACGACTTTCCAGACACTTTACATATTCCTTTTTTCGACGTCGACATTCTTTGGCAGCCTCCCTGCAAACAGCAGAAGCAAAAAAGGAACGAGAAATACTTGATATGCTATGCAACATCAGGGCTTCTGGAACAATTCCAGTATTATAGGTCAACATGATTCTGCAACACACCCATCAGCCCTCCCCAAGCTCCCAAACTTGCAACTGAATTCATAGGCTAGGTTAAAATACAAAGCAAAATGGAGTACATCATGCTCAAAAGTGTCCCTGTCCCAACTCCACCTGGTAGTCCATGGAACTGCAACATCTCATGCCTGGGTCAGAGTTCAAAAAGTATGAAAGTGGCAGTTTGAAGCTGTTAATCTGTTTTATGGCAGTACAAGTCTTTTAGGGCCTTGAGTTCCTCGATAAGAGTCTTGTTTTGATTTTCAAGCACAGCGACTCGATTTTCAAGACACTTGACATACTCCTTCTTCTTTTTGCGACATTCACGAGCAGCCTCCCTGGAATTAACAGAAGGCACATCATAGCGACAGCCGAAAAAGGGAAGAAACCGACTAATCTGTATACTTTGTCTTTGTAATGCCATCCTTAGAGCGCCACTTGAGGATCCCCAGTCCTTGAGCTACGACCTGTACCAACCAAAATCAGAAGCTGCTGGCTTTGTAAAATCCCTCGCAACACTCCAAAACCTAAATCATATTTATGGAATTATTTGCAGCCAACCAGTATGAATGCCAGGAATGGGATGCAGTTGACTCATCCCCCTCGAACGACTTTTGACAGGTGACACACCACATCAAATTGAAGTACTGTGTTCAGATGTAAGTTTCTGTCTGGATTGAAGTATATAGCCACAGCAATGAAATAAGTAATTTGATCACTGTTCCAGGAAGAACATTTTTTTTTGGCAAAACACAAGTATGCGTAAAATTATTAAACAGTATGAAAATATATGATATTAATATTTTTATCAGTCTAAACATGTCAACTAAGACCTTTGAAAAGCAACAAGAAATGTTCATTCTTCCAGTTATTTCTGAGGACCCAATCAAAAACTGCCAAAAAAATTCAATCGATTATAATAAAGGATTTATTAGCTCATTGTTCATCATTAGTTATATTTTTCCTCAGTCATCCTCTTGTAAAGACATATTTTAAAAATACATAAAATGTTAAAATACTGAAATGTGCTGGGCAAGCTAAAACAAAATAGCAGTGAAATTAAGCATATTTGGATTTTCTTTGGTTTAGTATTTTAACCAAATAAAAATCACTGACCCTAACCCTCTCAGGTAGTCCATACAATTACAATGTCTTATAGCCGGGTCAGAGTTTAAAAAGCTATTATTTGAAGCTACTGATTTTTTTTTTGAACTCTTGACAGAAATGTAAAGTGCTCATGTATACAATTCCTCCTAAATTAGCAAGCAGAAATAGCTACTGAAGTCTAAGTCTAAATGTTTACAAAATGTTTACAAATCACAAAACAATAAATCTAACCACGAAATAAAAGCACAAAGTAATTCTTAACAAGGTAAGCATGTTATATTTTATCTTGGGTTGCATGATATCACTTTAAACATCCATAACACATAAATGCAACATAAGGAGTTAAAGCTTAAGACTGTCATTTTATAAAGAAAAGAAAGCATAATGTCAGGCACCCTGGTACAGTTAGTAAGTTGACTGCCAACAATGTATAATTTTATGGGAAATATTGAAATCTTTTTTAAAAATTCTTTACTTTTTGAAATGTGATTTTTCCTTGCTGCTGACAACTGAATACATGATACTAAAGCAGATAGTTCATTACCTTTAAATGATTTTTTAAATGCTATGTTTGTTAACTTAATACATGTGGAAATACTGTTGTGGCACTTTAGACTGGTGATAGATATTTACTGCAAATCTTTCAACAATGTATGAAAATTATAACTTTCAATAAAGTCTCATTCATCCACTGCTTTGTTTTTTAATTGTCAATTCCTGCTTATACACAGCAATGGCAAGCTTGACTTTCTCAGCTTCCCTCTGCAGTTATCTTGCATGTCCAAATTGTGCTTCTTGCATGATGGAGCATAAGTCAGTGAAGGGTGTTCAAGCAGCAAAATTAAAGCCAGTCCTGAATGTAGCTGCATATAATTTCCTTTGAAGGCAAGTTCAAGATTTTGTTTGTTGTAAACTGAGGCAAAAGCAATGATTTAAGGGCTTCAAAATATCTCTGTCATAACAGAAAATCTTAACATTACCACACAACAAAAAAATCATGCAGGAGGATTGCAAGAGGAATAACCATTGGCAAGCAGTAAGATAATCTACTGATGCATGAGGATAAAGCAAAACCAGGGACATACCAGGAAGAGGGCATGCTATTAACCCACAGCTAGTGAGATTGCACATAGCTGGCATATGGCATTACTAGGACAATCAGACATTGCTATAATCAGAGGCCACCAATCTCTGCATGTAAAACTCCTACTGATGTAACTTAACTTGCGTAAATTATTTTTTAGATAGAAGATACTACATGCAAATAATGCTGGTGTTCATTGCAAAATATGCTTATAATAACAACAAATTATCAAAAGAAAGCAAAGATGCAAAGTATCTTTATTTCATGAAATTAAGCATACTTGAATTTTCATCAGAACATTAAAATAGTATACAAAGACAACCTTCAATTCATTGATGCCTAATAGGAAAATAAACCCACACGCACTTCCCTACGTATATTTATAATATGACACATACACTATATATTCTACCCAACAACGTCCTGCTTTAAAATGTTAGTATTTTCAAAATGCATTCACAATTTTCAACAACGATCACCATTACAATAAACCAGATTAGAATACACAGTGAGAAGTCACATTTCTAAATTGTCACATCAGAAGGCTGGTTCAAGTGGTGACCAAAAGGATTGACACAATCTGAGAACTTAAATGTATACACAATCTGAGAACTTTAAAAAAAATGTATAAGTCATTCACAACTTATTTAAGATACAACACTTTGATTAGTGAATTAGAATGCTAGACTTTAAAGTGGGTCCCCAAGCCTGCTAAGTTATCAAGTGTTTCCAATGGTGTTATTAGAAGCATCAAGAAAAGGATACACATTTCTTTTTAGGAGGCAGTGAAAAATCTAGACCAGCATCACATCATAAGCAGAAAGTGCAGAGCTGTAGAAATTAACCACCCTGTTTTGGCTAGTTTCTTGGGCTATGACTGCAATATTGTGAAGCAAGGAACTCTAGATCATATGGAGTTCCAGGTTAAATTTCAAAATTTAAAAGTTCCTTCATTTTTTAAATGACATGACCGTGGATCATTTCAAAAATGGGCATGAATAAAACTGTTATTGCACTATTACTGGCAGTAATGCTGATGTAGTTTTCCACAAAGCTTTAGTGTCTCAAGTAGAAATGGCAATTTTCTTGCGGGCAAATGGCTGTAGCCACCATTGAAAACATTGGCCTTTAAAGAAGATTTAAAACAGGCTAAAATGTACCAAGGTGAAGCCTCTTGACAGCCAGCTAGCCATTGACTCTTCCTGCAATTGTGGAGGTATGCTGAGACGGAAGGGAGCAGAACAGGCAATATTCAGAAGACTAACAATGCAAGAATATAGAGTTTGAGCATCCCATTTTTTGTTTTGATGTAAAATTCAGACAAACGCTTGAGGTAGCAAAGTAGAAGAAACATGAAAGTGAACGAGCAGAATTTTCACCTGGGTTCAGAGGCATATTTTACAGCATGAATGGCCATATGTGGTAGTGTGCAAAACACAGCCATACCTGCTGAAGTCAGGTTCCCAATTTAAATAGGGGATAAAAATTGGATTTGTTTCTGCAGACCATCTTCATCTGCTGGCTCAGGGTTTGGAAGTCGATTAAGAGCACGTAAAATGAGAGTTTGTAAAGAAAATGGAAAACCTTCTGAGAAGTCTGGAACATTCTAAAAGTTAACTTTACGGTGTTTTCATGCTTTCAAATGTTACTATTGTGGAATTACAGAATGACTGCAACAAAGAAGGTGGCTACGTGGTCTGTCATGCCTATACTGGATCTCAGAAGGATGAATTTACCTCGACAGAATCACAGATAGTTACAAAAGCTCCTATACTGTAATGTAGGTACACTTCCAATGCATCCATTCTTTGTAAGTCCTTTAAAAGTAAAGTCACCCTTACAGTGACCAGTCCTAATATATTTGTTCACATGCATTACAAAGATTTTTCCATTGCAGGAAGCAACATACTGGAGTAAAATTGTTACAAAATATCTTGCCAATTTGAGTTGTCTACCATGATTCAAGAAGTTCTGGCTGATAAAAATTCATGATATTGATATGGATGGACAAAGGCCAGCTATTTACTCCTCTATAATGATTGACAGACACCCTGCTTTGAAATTAAAATTAGTATCTGCTGTTCTTCTCAGATAGTAGTCTATTTTTTTGGATAGTTGTGGTCATTCAGAAAACTGAGTTTCACATTTTAATGCATCTTAGCACAAAGGGTGTTACATTAATTTCAGAAATGAATGACAGTTTCAAGAAGTTGTAATAACACAGTGTTCCTTTGATGTGATTACTGGTTTGTTGAGGCAAACTAATGTAAATATTACAAGGACTTTGCACATAGCAGAATATATTTTTTTCTCAGGCTCAATGATGTGAACACTTATTAGATAGTGAAATGTTCATTTTTCCATTGATGTTTCAGGCAATCTACATTAAGAATGTGCCATGAGTAGATATGGACATTAGATCAGGACAGCAAGGGGGTACAAGTGATCTGAAGGGGCATGGAGGATACATGGGGTCATAGAATTAGCTCAGGGCAATCTGAGGGGAATTGGAGGACACGTAGGTGCAAAAAGGTAGCAACAGGTGATCTCACGGCATTAAGAAAAAATGGGCTGGCATGGACAGTGGATGCAGGGAGTAAAAGCTGAGGTTTAGGGGACTTTTCAATGCTGTTGGGAACTTGGATGCTATGTTGGAGAACCAAAACAAGCCTTTGAATTGGCCTGTCTCATGCCTGTATTCCTCATGTATTCCATTGCAACATGGAAACTGCACTGCAAACTTGAAAATACAAATAGGAAGAAGTCGTTTGTGGGCCAGGTTTACAGCTTGCAATTCACAAAAGCACACAGGTTAAGTTTCCCTGAGCCTAATGAAAGATTCAGTTCCAAGATTTTATGGTTGATGTACAATGCAATTTTCATATATTTATTGATGATACCCAACTCTTACTGCACCTCCAGCTCTCTAATGCATTCCACCATCACTAAATTGTGAGATGGCTTATCAGACATCTAGCTCAGGGTAAGCAAGAAACTTTGTCCAACTAACTACTCAAAGCCAGAAGTCATCGTCTTTTGCCCTGACATAAACTCTGTTTCCTTGCAATTAAATCCACCACTCTCCTGGCTTAACCAGACATTTGCAAATGTAGTGTTATACTTGACATTAACATTAACATTTTGTCACATATCCATGGGATCTTGAAGACTCCCTACTTCCTTTTTCATTACATCACCAGATTCAATCTTTGCTGCTGAAATGCACACCCATTTCTTCATTATCTCCAGACTGACTACTCTAATGCAGTTTTGAATCACCTTCAAAAATTTTAAATCATTCAAAACTCTTGTTGCCCATGCTCTAACTTGCACCAACTTCCACGCACTGATCTGCATTGACTCCTAGCTAAGAAATATCTTGATTTTAAAACTTCCCTCATTTTGAAGTTTCTTCATTGCTTCAACGCTTGCACCTCCATGCTTTTAGTTGTCTAGATTCGAAGGCCTGGAATTCCATCCCTATATCTCTCTGCCTATCCACCTTCCTTTCCTCTTTCAAAATTCTCCTTAAAATCATTCTCTTTGACCTAGGTTTTGATCATGTCTCCAAACATCTCCTTATATGGCTCAGCATCAAATCTGGTTCAATGACAGCCCTGTGAATTGCATTGGAACATTTCCTTACATTAAACGTGCTATTTTAACGCAAGCTGTTGTTGGAACAGGATGCTAAGGAGGGTCAGCAGAACTGGAAAGTCAGCTAAGCAGGATTTTCTACAGAAAGCATGTAAGTGATGAAGAAGGCAAATGTTATGTCTTTATAGCGAGAAAATTTGAGTACAGCAGCAGAGTTGTCTTGCTGCAATTGTAAAGGGCCTTGTTGAGACCATACCTGGAGTTGTGTGTGCAATTTTAGTCACCTTAAGAGGAAGAGTGTTCTGCCTACGGAAGGTTTACCAGACTGTTTCCTGTAATGGTAGGACTGACTTATGGAGAAAGGTGGGATTGGTTAGTATTATATTCACTGGAGTTTAGAAGAATAAGTGGGGTTGGTGTGGAGGTTAGGGGGGTTGGGAGGGGTGGGGAAGGAGTAGTGGGGCTTGTTGGATCTCATCGAAACCTATAAAACTCTAAAATAACTAGACAGGATACATGCAGTCAGAATGTTTCTGATGATCAGAAAGTCCAGAAACACTGTTAAGGATACAGGGCAGGCTATTTAGGACTGAGATGATGAGAAATTTCTTCACCCACAATGTGGTGAGCCTGCGGCATTCTCTGCCTAGAAAGCAGTTGAGGGCAAAACATTGACTATTATCAGGTAGGAAACAGATATAGTTCTTAAGGCTCGAGTGATCAAAGTGAAATGGGAGAAAGCAGAACAGGATACTGAGTTAGACGATCAGCCAAGGTCATACTGAATGGCAGATCAGATTCTAAATGTCAAATGGCTTACTCCTGCTCTCAATTTCTACGTCTCTAAGTTATTAGCTTAGTTATTTCTTGTACACAATCTGCAACAATTGATGGTAAAACAGATGATTCACTATTTGAGAGAGATAGTTTCTGAAGAAGGGTCTAGGCCCAAAACATCAGCTTTCCTGCTCCTCTGATGCTGCTTGGCCTGCTGTGTTCATCCAGCTCTACACCTTGTTATCTCTGATTCACTATTTGCAAAGTTTTCTCTTCAGCACTATAAGCATCACTCACAAATTGAAAGAAATTGCTTGTCCCTCAAAACAGTCCCCCAGGTTAGTCCAACGAATGTATGATTGTCTCTTTTTCTAACTGAGCGGGTGAAACAAGAATTACTAAACTGGATTTAAAAGCCTTCCTCTCTCAAGGCAACTGATATCCCCTGAACCACTTCAGCTTGTACCTAACCAAAAAGTGGGATTTGCTTTGGCAATACAATGCTCATCGGAGTCCATTCCAATGAAATAAAACTAAAAACCAAGAACTGTGTTTGCTGGAAATCTGAAACAAATACAGAAATTGCAATTTCTGTTTTTGGTCCATTCCAAAAATCTTGGGAATCTCTAAATTCTGGTGCTCAGGTCTGAACAGATGTGATTTACAGAAATCATCACTGAAAGGAAAACAGAGGAAATGAAATCTAATAGTTGTTGGCTCTGAACAAATCCAAAACTGTGCACATTTATACCAATAACAAAGCTCCAAAACCAAAAATCAACACAACTGGTTTAATTATTTTCGTAAGATACCCATTTCTTCACTGCAGTACATTCTTTCCATTACAGATTCTTTCTTAAGCATGCAATCCAGCTGATTACCTATTTTCTGATATCTTACCTGTTTTTCATTAGCCTGAGCTCCCGTTTACGTGTAGCCTCTTCTGCCAGCTGTTGTGGACTATGCAATGTCCCTGGTGAGGTTGCCATTACCACTCCCTGAGGTAAGGTGGTAGTTGGGGTTCGGATTTGGTAAGTTGGCATATCTCCAGTGGCAGCTGCAAGGTAGATGTTTTAATATTAGTGAGACGTAAATCAGTGGTCACCTTAAAACCTTATTCTACACCTTTTAGTTACACTTCTTTTGAAGGTAAATCACTATAAAATTCCTTACCCAAATTTTTCTTCTCCCCACTATTTTAGAAACAACCTGCAATGCTATTGCATATTTACTGAGATTAAATGTCCCAAAATTTCACAGAGAAGCAAGTTAGAAAAGGTGAAGGCACAGTTGACAATTGGAGGCATTTCAAAGGCAGAAATGAAAGTAGCATGCCAAAGAGATTTAGAGAATGGCGTATTGGTGGGGTAGCTAAAAGCAATTGAAATGCAGAGGAAGCCAGAGTCAAAGGACACGTAACATAGCCAACGTTACAAATGTTGAGTGATTGAGAAGGTATTGCATTTAAATGTAGAGGGGCCAGAAAGGGTGTTGTACACAGAAACTAAAACTTACAATAAAGTGTATTGGAGAATTGGATACCTGCCAATCATTGAAAACAAGTAAAAACCGAAAAAAACTACTCTAAGATCAAAAACAAAAAAACAGAAATTGCCGTAAAAGCTCAGCAGATCTGGTAGCATCTGTGGAGAGAAATCAGAGTTAACATTTCGGGTCGCGTGACCCTTCCTCAGACCCTTCTGAGGAAGGGTCGCTCAACCTGAAATGTTAACTCTGATTTCTCTCCATAGATGCTGCCAGACCTGATGAGCGTCGAAAACAAGTAATGGGTTAGTAGAGTTTGGTGTAGTGACAATATTACGAATGTGCTGTAGTTTGTATAGGATGACAAACTTTGAAGAAGGCAAGCCCTGAAGAATATAACCGTGGATAATGATTTCAGTAATGGTGGTGAATTAGGAGCAGATTTGTGGACAGGAAATCAAAGTTAGTGATAGGCAGGATACAATATTTTCAACTCAGATGAAGATCAAATCAGATTATATGGAATGTACATCATCAGATTCTGTCAGGGGAGCTATTAAAGTGGAAAATGGAGTTGGGATAATAGTAGGAATTTACAGCAAAGTAATACAGTTTCTTTACCATGTGCAGAAAGTGCATAAGGTGCAATACATCTACATACAGAAACTGAATATGTGTATAGGTGCACAATTAATATTACTGAGAGACAGTATGCCTAATGGGAAAAAGTGGGAGTCAAAGATGAAGCCTTCAGACATTCTAGAGAGGTACGATACAGGCAAGATGGTGATAAAATCAACCTCTAGCTCTAGGATGTAAAAGAATTGCAACCAAATGAAAACAATTTACTGAAGGAGCCTGTGGAAGATGGAGTAGCAGATTGTGGCAAAGAAATGGAGGAAGATGAAAGAAGATCACAATGCCACACAGTTGTATTATAAACAATGTAACTGTTGAGTGACTGAGATGGTCTTAAAGTGTGTAGAACAAAGGTGGCTCAGGAATTCAAAAATTGAAATTATAGACGAAGTAAGCGGAGCTTGACATTAGCAATGCATTGAATGGAACTTAAAGAAGAAAAGCTTAGATTTGGGATTCTGATTCATTACTACCTACTTAGAAATATGAGCAGCTTAATATGAGTTTTAAAATTAAAAATAAACAGCCTCATTATCTGTGGGAAAATACTTGGTTGTTGCTCAGTGTTACCAATACTAGAAAGTCAGTAAGGAAATGAAACTTGCATCAGAACAGCATCAGAAGGCTTGCATCAATATTAACACATTGCAACATTGCATTGCTTACAAATGTCAGGATTAATATATTTCATTAATATAAAATAATCATGGTCAAATTCTCAATTAGATTTTAAAATTTCAGTTTATCTTAGTTTTAGTCACACTTAATTGATAGGACTGCTAAAGGGATTGATTCTATTGTCAAAAACAATTATAGCAGAAAATAACAACAATAAAACATCGAGGATAAAATAATGTTGACAGTAGTTGTATCTTAGAATTCTCAAAACAAGCACCAAGTCCATTGCTCTGATCTTACTACAATGCATACAAACCAATGTTAAAAGGACCTCTTCACTTTCATTGTCACGATAAATTGTAAAGCTAAATAACTTTTTTTATATTACATACATATTCACTCGTGGGGCGTGGGCATAGCTGGCTGAGCCAGCATTTATTGCCCTTCCGTAGTTGCCTTTGAGGTGGTGTTGAGCTGCCTTCTCAAACTGCTGCTGTCCATGTGTTGTAGGTCGGCCCACAGTGCAGTTAGAGAGAGACAATTCCAGGATCTTGACTCAGTGACACTGAAGGAATGGTGACACATTTCTAAGTCAGGATGGTGATTGCCTTGAAGAGGAACTCGCAGACAGTAGTGTTCCCACGTATCTGCTGTCCTTGACCTTCTGGACCAGTGGTCACTGATTTGGAAGGTGCTGTCTGAGGATCAATCGCCTATTCTGCACTTATTACATTTTATACAGCACCACCACATTGAGGTGCGGCCCTTATCTGTGATCTGACTCAGCAGTGTCCACTTCTCCTTTGACGCTGCCATGGTTCCAGGGTAATCAGTTGAAAACTATTCTATATTATCAGGTCAGGCAAAAGTCTATTTTAAGTACAAGCTCCCCAACTCAATACTGGACAACCATGAGGGACTGTGGGCAATCAGCAGAAGGAGAATTACATTTAACCACAGAAGTTGCTGGAAAAGCTCAGCAGGTCTGGCAGCATCTGTGAAGAAAAAAAATCATAGTGACCCTTCTTCAGAACCCGAAATCAACTCACAGGTGCTGCCAGACCTGCTGAGCTTTTCCAGCAACTTCTGTTTTTATTCCTGATTTACAGCATCCACAGTTCTTTTGGTTTTTACATTTAACCACAATCTGTAACCTCATGATTCAGCATAGCCCTCACTCTACAATGATCATTTCCAGCAAGACAGAATGTAACCATTGTCTCTTGACTCTCAGTTGTGTTACCATCACCAGATCTCTCACTATTAACATCCGGGGGCGTTACCATTGACCAGAAACTGAATAGGAGCAGCATTATAAATACTGTGGCTAAAACAGGAGGCAAGTGATTCCAAGTTCTATGATGAGCAATTCACCTCTTGTCTCTTCATTTCTGTCTACCATCCACAAGGCACACATCAGGAGTATGATGGAATTTGCCTGGATCAGTTCAGCTCCAACAAGTCAAGAAGTATGCCACTTTCCAGGATAAGCCAGCTTACAAATTGGCACCCCGTCCATCACCTTGATCATTTATTCCTTTTAATTCCATTCACAGTGGCAATAGTGTGTACTATCCACAAGGTGCACTGCATTTACTCAGTAAGTATCCTTCAAAAGCATCTTCCAAACCCACACTTCTACCATCTAGAAGGACAACAGGAGCAGCTGCAAGTTCTCCTCCAAGCTACACACTGTCCCTAACTTGGATCTATATCTCAATCTTCTCCTGTTGTTGAGTCAAAATTCTGGAACTTCCTTCCTAATAGTGGGTTTCCCAACACCCCAAGCCCTATACAAGGAGGCAGCCTCTTCCAGAACAATTAGGGATAGGCAATAAATGCTGAACTTGCCAGCAACACCCACAATTCATGAATTCTTAAAATAAATCAGACAAATATTTGTCGAAATACTTTGTTATAAATGAGATACTTCCAGTGCCAACTAAACATTGTGAACACACCAGAAAGTCAGGGCTGTCAATTGATTACTTAATGTTCACAATTAACATGCTTCTAAAAATTAATCTCCAAAAACTGTCAATTGCAGCTGAATATTGCCTAAGGCCTCATAGTCAGTTGTGACATATACTTGTGCTCATTGCTATAAAGCATTTGATAATTGTTTGTCAACAATACCATATCTCAAACAGAAATAACCAAAAGCTGCATATCCTACAAAAAAAATTGCTGGTTTAGCAATCCACCCAGAAGATATTTTGAAGGATCAGATTATAAATTTATAACCAAATTATTAACAAGCAGTACCAAAACTGATCAGATTTATTTTTTGTGCAATGATTCTGACACAGAGGGCAAAAGACAAAATATAGCATACAGCAGAAGACAGCTAAGAGGTGCAACTCAGAAAATTCCTTGCTTATATAACAGGTAAGAACATGATGAGAATTAATAAGTAGTCAGTCAACCACAGGAAATAAAAACTCTAGCAGACAGGTTTAACTACCACCAATATGAAGAAACAGAATCACAGAATTCCTAAAGTGCGGAAATCAGCTAATTGAGTCCACATTGGTGCTCTGAACAGCATCCCACCAAAACCCAGCCCCCACACCATCCCCTTAATCCCGCATTTACCATGGCTAATCCACCTAACCTGCACATCCTTGCACACGACAGGGCAATTTTAGCACAGCCAATCCACCTAACCTGCACATCTTTGGACCGTGGGAGGAAACCAGAGCATCCAGTGGAAACCCTCAGACAGAACATGCAAACTCCACATGGTCAAAACTAATTACCCCCTGTGTAATAACTGATACGTTTGATCATCATATTCATCAATCACAAAATGTTTCTTATTTCTTCCAGTCACAATCACTGTCTAGTATTCCTCTGACTTCATTTTACATGTCTTGCATCCTGTATTCTTTCTGTTATATAATTCAGTTCCGGCTTGTCTGCATTTCTTCCTTGGCACTGAATCAGCATCATCATCCTTTATTATCTCTCCTGTTCAAGGGCTTGCCTCATCTTTGGAAGGGGAGGAATACTAAAAGTAGGTGGCTAACATTGTCTCTGGTTTGGACCTAGAAGTGTCTTTCAGAAAATTTATTTACACACTGGTTAACCTGCTTCTCATTAATGCAAGACAACAAATGTGCACTGCAAGCTGTTTATAAACTGAGCTGAGGTCACAAGCCAATTTCATTAACTTGCATCCTGATCAACATGTCCAAGAATAGCAAGATTGACAAATCATAAAATCATGTAAATTACTTTGCTAAATTATAATCAGTTATACAAATTACTGTAAATGAAACTGCAATATTTAGTAAAGGAATTCAACAGTGTTTA